AGTTGCCTTAAACAATATTGATAGAAGACAAATTTCCCTGACTGCATAATTCCAGTTTTACGTCCCTATAACTGCAGCCCAATTAACGTATTTTGCAAGGAACTTCATCTCGTGATGTTTACTGTAGGTCAGTCTATACTAACTGACCCTTTGTGATACTTACCCATACCACCTATACACTCATCTTTTGTTTGTTCCTTTGAGAAGGTCTTGTATAAAGGACGACATTTTGCATACGTTATTTATGCAGGGCTACTAACATTGAGAACATGCTACGCTTGGCTTGGAATTTAAGTGGTGTGTTGAGAGGTTTCACTTTTATGGTTTGTGACTTTGCTACCGTGCATCTTTATTAGTAATCTCCATCAACGGAAAGGGGAGTGTTGTGCTGAGAATTATACTGAGTGAAAGCCTTGTCGCGAAGACATGTTCATTCTGTTTCTATCAGATAGGGCAGGCGTTAAGAGCATGGCTGCACATCGCAGTGCTTTAGTGAGGTCGTTACGTTGCTGCATTTGTTCTACCAACTTCACCTGTCGTCAGACTTGAATTACAATGGATGGTATTTTTGTGTGAGAGGTTTTGTGGCTGCAGGTCCTCGAACGAAACGCGTAGCTCTAAAATCTTTATTGAATACTTTGTCCGGTTAATCAGTTGCAGAAAGTTCTATTTGTCGTTCTATTTTACTGTTAAATATATCGCAGTTCCAGCCTTGCTTAAAGATACTGTGTTACTGCTTTGAGTAGTACAGTCACACATATTTGACATACATGTTTTGAGTACAAGATTAATCAATTGGCATTGTTACTTACATTTACAGATTAAATATTACCTGCTTTTCCGTATCTTGCAGTATTATTTTCCTAAGCCAAAATATATTTATAATATATTACATGCAGCTTCATTAGCATTTCGTTGGTATTTGTCAGTGGTCTTCCTTAGTTTTTGATAAAATATGCAGCCTTTTTTAGCAGGGCTGTGGAGAGCTTAATATATATTAATAAGGGTAAACCTACTAAAATTGTAAATGGCACCATAAAAGATTTCATTACCTCCACGTGAATCATCAGCCTACGTTTTAGACTTATAGCCTATATTTAAATATACGTCTAATGGTTATTGCAGAAATCGGTTGATTTGTGGACGGTCTGTATTCTTAAGGTACTGGAGCCAATTTTACAAAGCAATATTCCCACACAATGTGTTTCAACGCGTCGTTGAATCTCCCTAAGCGTGAGGCCACCGGCCTCTCACACGGTATAGAAAATGTTCTTAAGGTTTTATGTCGGAGTCGGTACATTTTTATCGACTCCGACTCCACATCCCTGATTTTTAGTTTAATGACATTATCTACGTGTATGTACCTCATAATGTCACTGTATCCATAAGTTATGATCACAGTCCAAGATTCATTTGACTATTTCACGTACTTGGCTAGAATTTATATTTATTTATCCGCCACGACTACTTCCAAAACATTAATCTTGAAGAACTCTATGAAATATACATTATTTATTTTATCTTCAACCAAGTTGTCTTTAACTGTGGGTTGATTTCTTTGTTTCCTTTTATAAAGTTGCTGTGAAGATTGAATAACTGATATCCATTTTCAGATAGTTGCAGTTAACTGCAGACTGTTCCATTACGTATTATCTAAATATCTTCATTTGATGAAAAATTTGTAAAAAGAGTTTTCAAAAGAAAGGTTTTGAATAGTGTAGAGTTTCTTATAAAAATAAATTATAATTAGGGTCTTCCATTAGGGCAAACAAGAATAGAAAGTTAGCATCTGTATTCTAATGGGATGCAAGTTTCTAAAAGCCTTTCCGATTTTGGATACTTCATTGGTCTTCTTGATGTTAATTTTTATTGCAGTTAAAAGTTTAATGCTTAAAGTTCTTCCCACTACAGCTATTTCTGCACAGAATCAGTTAACATTTATTTTGTGTTTCCTTAACGAACAGTATTTAAACAGGAAGTTGCTCACCTTAATAATGTTAATATTTTATTTAATTTGTTACTTTTGATATTAAGAATAATATTTTATGAGTTTAAATATCATTAATATTGAGTTTCCTGTAATGCTGAGGTTATATCGGGCTGGATTAGATTAAATTCTGTTCCAGGAATATGCGGACTTTATAGACCTGTACACGCTCCAGATATTATGGACCTACAATTCTTGTTAATTATTTGTTGTATAGAATATTCAACTGTTAAATTATAACCCACATGCAGTAGCAGGGAAAACAGTATTCCTGATTCTATTTTTAATGGTGTCATTACAAATAATGTAGCAATAATTTTTCATTTAGTTTGTTTTCGATTTGACACTATTGCACTAATTTTAACACTTTTCCGTCAGGTGATTCTGTTTTGTATATGTGTTTGTCGTTTTTAACAACCGTACTTAACATGGTTTCATGACTCGATAACTGGTTTTATTTGTTAGAGAGGGAGAGGTTAAAGCATTTTCGTAGCAAATTACCTCTAAGTTACATTCCACTTCTAACCACCGCAGTGACATGTATAAAATGTCGTACGAAGCTCAGCACAAATTCTACCACGATCAAAGTTTGCTTTACGCCAGTCTGGTGTCTAATGTTTATCATGAAAACACAACATTTGCGAGTAATTGCTTCAGACTGGTCAGATCTGAACTTGCATCACCGCATTTAAAAGTATTTATTTAGTGCTTTTATTAGTTCATTCAACTTTTGATTATTCATGAAACAAGAAAAATTATTTCTCATTTCGGTAATTTTCTTTTTTACTTAATAAACAAGAACCTTTCTGTCTCCTTTGCTTCCTCTGTTCATTTCTCTCTGTCTTTCGTTAAAGATTTAGTTATAATTAGTTCATATGTCACACCATATCGTTCTTGATAACACCATGACTACTTTTTTTCTGATGGCACGTGACTTCTTCCATATTCTTGATAACACCATGACTACTTTTTTTATGGCACGTGACTTCTTCCATACTTCGACATTCTTTCAGCGTCAATTCTTTTTAAACTGTTAAACATTATTTTCTAGCGTAATGGCTGTGTACAGATTACAACTCGAAGGTAAAATAATTTTAACTTCTAGACTTCAAATTAATCCCGAGGCTGTTTGGTCCAATCACATCCTCGTAATCCATGCCCCTAAAATGTGCCTTCATAATATTCTCCTCGCTCACTCTCGGTGTTCTAAGTGACTGTTACAAAAGATATTTTCCAACCGAAATTCTAGATAGATCTATTTTTTCCCATCCTAATCACGTGCCCATCGCTTCCTACCGTTCTAAATCTTACTTTTCTGAAAAGAAAAGAGGCAGATGACATACATAAACCATGATGTTTTTCATTATTAAATATTCCTCATATTTTATATCCTGTGTAGTTCGAAATGTATTTCTGAGCTTGTCATTTGTTATCTGAAGCTGCTTCCTTTACCTAAGTATTCATGTGATCTTTATTTATCTCCTTCACATTTAATAGTCCGCGTAAGTGACAAGAGAAGGGAAGAACAAAGTTCGTTAGGACCTTGTCTCCCGTCTGATGCTTGAAAAGAGGTACTTTTTGCGGTCTGGTTGTTCCCACGTGTTAACAAGAAGTCCTCTGGGAGCTGACACTGCTGTGAGTGGCAAACAATGCAGAGCCTCATGTCGACATGTCGTACTTCATTTTCAGGTTACTGGTCAGCTCGACCTACTGCAGCTCCCACTCTGTAAGGGCTGGAGCAACTTTATTGCTTACAAGGCCTATGTCAAAAGCGCGTCAGTATCTCGGCTTCCTCACCCCACTTCACAATCTCTTACACTTAGCCAATAGCACAAGAGAGGTTTGCGAAAATAGGACGGAGCAAGTTAG